CACAACAAGATATTGTTGATGATGATCTGGCTAGTGTCCTTGAATTCGTAGAAACAATATATAAAGAAAATGTTGCAACCACCATTTCTTATAAGCAAAAGAAAGAACAAGGCTTAATTCAGGAAATATCTGCAGGCGATAGCCAAGATGATGCATTCCCATCCACCCAAGATCATGACTCCATATCTCCAGAATATGCAACTGAAATTTTGCTGACCTCAGGTTAGGAAAAATCGAACATCTTCCAAAATATCGCCAACTTATATGAAAAAGTATGTGATGCGGAATATGAATCAATAAAAGCTAATTAGGCTAAAATTTTATGCTGGAGTAATTTTATTATAGTACTTGACAAAAGTCTTGATGAACTCATAGTTAGGGATAAAGTAAGTATGAAAAAGCTAAATGTCAAGTTTATGATTTTATTATTGCACAAAATCCTGGCACTAGGCGTGAATCACTATATAAGAAAATTGAAAGAGCTAGAAAAATTTACAGGTTATTTGAAAAAATAGGTCTAGATAAAGTAAAATATATTAAGTCATATAGCGCAAATGCTATTTCAAAATTTACCAATAAACAGATTCAAACGATTATTAATCATTTTACTAAAAATCCTACCAAAGAATTCATCAATGATTAGGACAATTCTTCAGATGACTTACCCAAAACTGATGTAGGTGAGAAAACTTTACCGACAATTGAGGTAAGTACACTAACCATATCTCAGCCCAAACTTCAAATTTTCATTTAAAATCGCTCAGTACAAAATGCTTTAGTTGAGTCGTGGTTGTATCGTGGTTGAATTTTTCTTATATAATTATATGAAAAAAGGCATAGTCGCGGTTGAGACACGTTAGAATCTTAGTGATGCAGACTGACATTCTAACTCTTTATTGATAAATACGTAATAATAATGATGTCTTACAAGGTCATACAGTGACTATGCTTCCAGGACTATGCTTTTATCTGGTAAAATAAGAGCATTATTCCAAGAGATGGGTATTGTGAAACATTGAGTTTTTAACTCTTGAATCAGTTCTGAATTATCAGAATATGCTTTTAGTACATCATTATATGGAATTCCTGGCTCTTTTAAATTAGTGCAATATAAATAATATGTATTTTTACTTCGACTATCTAGCTACCACTTACCATATAAACTCATATGATTTTCTCTACATAGTGGGCAATGTGGTCCGAGAACCCAATAGGAATCAGTTTGATG